GCCCACATATCACCCTTAAGCAAAGCTGAAAGACATGTGTGTGAGTAAAATAGATCTTGAAATTAAGTGTTGGTTGGTCTCTAGCACATTCCTCTGAATAATCCAAACCCCAAATCCAGGTGTTTCTACATTTCCATTGCATACCAGATAATTCAAGAGTTGCTAGCATCTCTAATAAATCTGTTTTGGTCAGGACCAACTTTCAATTGATAAATTAATTTTTCTTACCTTCACAGTTCATACCCGGTGATGTCAAGCGTATGCTGGAAGTGATTTCTCTAAATGTCAAGTCCTAGCTGGAGAGAGCTGCATGACATATACACTGTCCTAATTAAGGGCTAAGACTGCCTGGCATCATGCAGCCATCTAAAAGCAGCACCAGGCATAGTAGTTTTACCTTGTTGCATTGTTTGTAAGATGCAACATCATCTTATCCCTCCTTCCTCCTCATTTACACCATCTTAGTGTAAATCTATTTTGTATTGACATCATTGGAATATTGATTTTATGGACTTCTAGATGTACTTGCCTTGGGTCTGGTGGATGAGTTAGTAATAATAGAACTTCTCAGGTCATTACAACAGGGTGAATATTTTTTTCTCCAATCCAGGTTCACAGCAGACACAGCTTTCTTTTGTCCAGAACCGGAATGGACAGAATATATGTAATTCTTTTGCAATGATCTTGCAAACCCCTTCATACTCTCTCTCTCTCTCTATTCCCTTCTTTTTCTTCTTACATGACCACTTTCCACAACTAGTTCTTGAGGACTGTTCGTAGGTTATAGAAGCAAAACTGCTACGCTCAGCTTTCTGCAGTGCTCACATTTCCAAAGGTACAATGTGAGATGATGCAGGAGGAATGAAGATGCAGCTTCCCATACAGCATTCTTCTCTCCTGGGTGTTGCTGGTGTAGGAAGTATCCATATCATGTACATGCACCCTTGAGTTCTTATGTCATTGGAAAAAATGTGTGATGTTGCTGGTGACGGGAGAACACACGGGAGAGTAAGTCATAAAGAGCAGCCTTAAGTATTCCAGGAAGGTGCCTTCTGCCATCTACATCAGCAATGTCCAAAGCTCAGTAGCAGCAAATGATACCATCCAGACTCCCTTCATAAAGGTGCGTCTACATAGGAACTTGCAGCTGAGAAATGGCACAGTATTAAAATACACCCCCTACAGAGAGGGACAGGAGTATAGGGAAAGGGAGAGGAAAGGACAGGGAAAGTGGTAAGGGAAGCTGTTAAGCTTTTCTAGAATATCTGGTGGACAGCTTCACTTCCATGAAAGAATTAGGAGAACCTGCACAGCGTACCTGGTACAACACGGAGGTGTAATGAAATAACAGGGTGCTTGGCTGGGTTCACAAATTCACTGCACTGCAACTGCAACCATCCTCAGCCCAGACATGGCTGCTGGGTTCTTCTGGATGGAGGGTAGCGAAGGGGAGGGGGCATCACAGCCTGTGAACTGAGATTTTCCTCCTGGTGTATTTATGTTGTGCTTTCCTGGTTATGCGTTTGGGAAGCTCCAGCCACATGTGAAAGATTTTAAAAAGGTATATGTTCTATATAGAAGTGTGTCATGAAAGCCCCACCTATGGTCCAGAAGACATCGTAATGACAGCTGGAATAAACCCCTGTGCAGAGAAGCCTTAGGTTTCCAGAAAGAGGAACCAGATACCAAAATGCATTTCCCTTTGACGGTGGCTTCTATCTGCCACCAGTTCAGAAGTTGGAGGCATTATTAAGTTCCTCAAACCATTACATTATGGAAGGTGAATGCTTATCTTTCCAATGTTGTGCTAGTAATCTTTCAGTTGCCAAGAGGTCAGGAGATTTCATGTACATTGACCTTACATTACTTCCATAAAGCAGATAAATAATTTAAAAGAGCATGCACATCAGCGAATATTAAAGGCTGCCCTAATATAAAATGTATCTCTTTAGTGTTGTCTTCTGCTTGAAAAGAGGCAGCGGCAGGACATTGCCAAAATATATGTTTAAAAGAAGCTTTAGCTGTATTGCATCTCTAGCAATTAGACAACTTGGGCAATTCCTTATTAAAGAGACATTGCAGTGTCCAGGAGACACAAAACAGAAGTGTTTGCTGAATAAGATGCAGCCTGAGCTCCACAGACATGATGGACACACTCGCCAAAATAGTGATCCACTGATTAGGCAGAAAGGGATAATTCAATTCTCTCTTCCATTCCTGCTTAAGACCCTGCACATTATTTATTTTCACCAATAGCAAGTATTAATGGACATGGATTGTGCATCATTTTGCCTGGCTGGCCTCAGGAAGGGCTTCCAGTAATGATGGCAGTTCTGATGCTGTAAAAGTGGCCAGACCAAGCCTAGATAGCCAACACACGCTGCAGTGGCAAGTATGGCCACACAGCATAGCTGGCAAGAGCAAACTCTGAGGGGCAGCTGCAGTCCAATCTGCACAGTTCAGGGGGAGCAGATCTGCTGAGTCCATGGTGGCATTCACGTAGATCGAATTACTCAAGCAAGCAATTCTGCAATAAATCAACGAAGACTTGTGGTGGAGCAGGTTTAACATGACTGGACCTGGGACATTCCCTAAAATAGAGCTGAATGAAGAAATGCAGCCTATTTGCTGACATGTTAACTCTACAGTAATGCACCTTACTATTATTTGAGAGCGATTTAAATGAGCTGAAGAATATTTATGGTCCTTTCTCTCCTTCTTTTCACTTCACCCAAGTGGAAGACTTTCTTTTTTCTTTTTTTGCAAAATCCTTTAATTTACAATCCCAAGGGGGCAAGCTGCTTAATGAAAGGCAATGTATTTTAAATGGCTCCACACAAGGTGAAAATGTTGGCTAAGCTAGCTCAGTAGTTGGAGTGGCAAGGGATTGGCATGTAGAGAGCAGAAGTGTTGGACCACTTTCGATCAGAGGGCTGAATTTCATGTTGGAAAAAGCTGCATTTCAGTGCTGGGTAAGGCTGAAGGCAAATGAGGTGGGTTCCAAAAAACTAGCTTTAAAATGCTTAGTGCCAGTAACTAAGCCATTCTGCCCCTTTAGAGTGGGGCAGACTGTGTGCAATAGCTGGGAAACCACCTAACACTCAGGGAAAGGGATGTAGCTACTTGGGAATCTTCAAAAGGCTACATTTGGCAGATGAGCAAGATTTGGTCCTATACCTGAGGTTCTGCACCCATGGCAGGGAGGAGGCAAGATAATATGCTAGGTAAACAAGGAGTCAAGATAAGCAAAGTGTTGGAAGTGAGAAGGATGGCACTCATCCTTCAGAAGACTGAAGAATCATAAGATCAGAATCAGAATGTGAAGCAGATCAAAGGGGAACTGGGGAGGATGGGACATGCAAAGACACTGAGATGAAGGAGGTGGACTTGCTTATCTTGAGGCCAGATTATTCAGCAGGGCAGGCAGCTTCTGGGAATTATCAAGAGGTACAGCTGCTGGGAGGAGACTCTGAGAGACAGGGGTTCTTAGACAGACCCTCCCCCCCCGGCTCTTGATCCCCTGGTGAGCCATCAGCAGAGGCAGATGGGGCAACTAAATGATTGGCATGTGGAGAGGAGGCCTCCTTGCTTTCAGAAAGCCCTTCCTGAAGCAAGGGGAGAGTTGCTTATAAGGAGAGTTCCTGGAGGTAAACACTCAATTGGATTCAACCTACCACTCTGTGCATGCTCAGAGATTCATTCTGGGTGATATGTACTTGTTTTGCAAGGAAAACAGTTAATGGCTTTTGACTGCTGGAAGGAGAAACCTTGGCTCACGACACAAAGTGTCGCTGCAGAGCTTATTGCAGTAGATGGAGAGGAGAAATGATACAGCAAAGTGTTTCCTTTGAACCTTAGGAGAAGAAGCTTCCTCTTGCTGAGGGCCACATTCTCACCAGAGTAATCTATCAAGGACTGCGTGAGGCAGTGGGTAGAGGCCTCGCCAGTGGAGGGCAAGGGTACACCCAAAAGCGAAAATGGAGCTGCCTCTTTTTATTTTTCTGCTACTCCTCTCCTTTCCCCCCTCTCTCCACGATTCCAACAGGCACTGATCATTTGCACAGGACTTCTAAAATTAAGCTGACGGCCCCTTGATATTAGCCCAAAGGTCAGAAGAGGCCCATGGGCTATGGGTTGCCCACCCCTGCTTTAAATGATGAATCTTTATTTCAACAAATCTGCCTTGCTTGACCAGCCACAGTTTTTATTGGCATTCTGTTTTATTAAAACCTTTAATAACATGTTTTATTACTTTTATTTCTTATTGTTCACTGCTCTGAAATTAGTTTCAAAGTGGGACAATATATGCATGTTGTAAATAAATTTTTAAAATGTAGTTTGGAAGCATGTGCTGAGCTGTGCAAAAAGCTACAGTTGCCTTTCCACGGAAATGGTGGGGACACCCATTGTAGGACATGACTGAGAGTGACTGTGCTGGTTCCTAGTATTGGTGTCACACTGTAAGCCCTGAGAAAGCAGTTTTCCAGTCGGTAAGAACTTGTGGAAACAAGATACACATCTGTGAGCATCCCGTGAGGAGTTTCTTTGGGACAGAGGTCCAGGGCTGCACTCTGCAGCATGAACAGAACAGGCCTGAAGCACCCCGGAGCTGGCTTATCATCTAAAGAGGGTCCGTTGTTATACTTCTACATTCTTTTCTGCCCTTGAGTTTCCTCCACAAGGTGGACTCATCTCTGGAGCAGTCATCAGGCATGACTGGTACTGAAGAGGGGCTTCCCTCAAAGATCTTTTTTGGCAGTTATGGTTCCTGAGGGCCATATGCTCCTTCCAGCATCGGATGCAGAATCCCAGTTGCACCAGTTGCTGGGAAACACAGGTGGAAGGACGCTGTTGCACTCCCGTCCTGCTTGTGGCTTCCCTGTGGGCAGCTGGTGGGCCACCATGGGAGCAGAACGCTGGGCTGGGTGGAACTCCGGTGTGATCCAGCAGGGGTTTTCTGATGTTCTAAGGGGAGCCCTTTTCTCTTTCTCTCTCTGCAGGTCAGTTATGATGGGGAACTTCACAAGCACCCGCAGCTGGAAGCTGACTTAGCAGCAGTGAGAGAGCTCTATGGGCCAAATGCAGTATCTCTCAGGTATATCTGTCTGGCTTGTTATCCATCTATCTGCCCGCCCCTCCCCCATCTATCTACATTGTGGGACTAATTGCAAAAGGCTTTGAAACTGAGAAGTGGAAAGAAAATTGATACAACCATCATCAAGGGCAAGGCAGCCATTAATGTGTGCCCCCCCCCCCCACAAATACAAAAAGAAAAAAGAATGCTTCATGGAAGAAAGGGAGTTTGCATGAAATGTAAATTTGCTAATTTATAAGTACATTAAAATAAGTAAATGTGAATGTAGAAATAATTATGATAAGGTAAACAAATAGTAAAGCTATGGTTTTCCCAATTGCAATGTATGACTGTGAAAGTTGGACCAAAAGGAAGGCTGAGCACCGAAGAATTGAGGCCTTTGAGCTGTGGTGCTGGAGGAGACTCCTGCGAGTCCCTTGGAACACAAGGTGATCAAACCGGTCAGTCCTAGAGGAGATCAACCCTGACTGCTCTTTAGAAGGCCAGATACTGAAGATGAAACTCAAATACTTTGGCCACCTAATGAGAAGGAAGGACTCCCTGGAGAGGACCCTGATGCTGGGTACGATTGACCGCAAAAGGAGAAGGGGAAAGCAGAGGATGAGGTGGCTTGATGGAGTCACTGGGGCAGTGGAACGGTGGAGGACAGGAGAGCCTGGAGGAATGTTGTCCATGGGGTTGTGATGGGTGGGGCATGACTTTGCGACTAACAACAACAAAACAAATAGAACACATTTTACCATAGTGGGAGGGACTGACCTGGGAACCTGGGTGCCCTTTTCAGGCTCTTGCCCAGTTCCTACAGTAAGTATTGACGGGCATCTGCAAGGCTTTGCTCCTCTACCTTCATATGATTGCTTATCTTTAAACTAGACTTGAACTGGAGGCTCAGTGATGACTTATTTATTAATACCCTCTCTCTGCCCTGCCAACAAAGGATTGTCTTCTGTAAAATTGAATGCATGGCCACCCTAACTAGTGACAGCTCTAATCTTGCTTCTCAGATTTAATCACTAGAGGCAAGGCCTGTTCTTGGTTTGAGAGGCTCTTGGGCAAAGGGACCTCTGGTGGGCGCTCTCGTCCGGCCACCCTCACCCCATGGCAGCAGTGGACACCAATTCCTGGGATGGTGCTTTAGCTAGCATGGTTGGCTGAATCTCCAGTGAAGCTACTACATCCAGGATACTGTGGGAAATTATGTTCACTGCTTAGAGTACCAGGACATCTTTCCTTTTGGGGCAGCAGGACAGATGTTAGCTGCATTCAGCCCTAGGATCCAGATAAATATTTGAGGCTGCCTGGCCCTGGCCCTGACTATAAACACAAAAAGACTGTAGAACTACAGGTATGCCTGGCAGGGGTATGGAGGGAGAAGTATGCTTGCAAAGGAAAGTTACACTGAATTGGTATCCTTTCAAGCCTGTCTCTTCCCTGCCCCTCAACTGCCTGCTTTTTTATTATTCAACTTCCTGAAATGTGTGTATTATTTAAAATACTGAGATTGAATTTATTGTTTTTTGCCTGGCTGCCAAGTGTTTTTGGCCATTTCAGAACCACTGAATATATACTGCTGGATATTAAATAAGCAGTTGTTGGCAGTTTAGGGCTACAGTCCTAAACTCAGCTATGAGGGAGACGAAAGATTGGCTTGCTTCCAGGTATACACAGACAGGATAAATGCACAACATGCTAGTTATCACCCAAGTGGGTTCCTAGTTTGCAGCCCTGGAAGGTTGCAGAAAGCTGGATAAACATTATATTGTGTTTTTCCTTCACCCAAATGTAGCTTTACGTGACGGTAATTGAGAGCTCTCAGCTATATGTCGGCCCAGCATCTGACAGTATATTTATCCATTCATTAGCTCAGTTACACATGAGTATTCATCTGAAATAAATCAATGACAGAACAGAAATAGCCAAATATGATTTTCCAAATTCACCTAATCAACTCTTAAGAGACCTTCATTAGTATGGAAGTGTTACTTATTATTATTAATTATTATGTTGTTATTAATATTTATTATTATTAACAACAACAACTGCCCACCTTCTATATACTTTGTGTAACGTATCATTTTCATGGATGACGTTTCTACAGGGCTTTCTGATGGACCAGCCTTTCCCTGGATTCCAGCTTTACAGTGTAATTGCTAGTTATGGGTTTTGTCTTTTGCTTTGTTTCAATTTCAACATGAACAGGATTTGAACATGAGCTTACAAGCCAGGGACAAAAGGAAAAAGAGGCCGGTGCCTTTGTTGCTCCCTCCAGCCAGCTGGCCCGCCTGGCCATTAGTGAAGCCAAATTAATATGCCTTAAAATTCATTTGTTTCAATCGCCTGAGTGACATATGAATTGAATTTGTGAGTGTACATTTCAGTTCCTTAGACAATATGGCTACAGGAAAATCTTGTTTTCATTACATGCCATTTGAATTAAGTGGAAATTCATTAGGTATAGAGGACACTGGAAATTAAAGGCCAGGCAGGAAATGAATAACATAATCATTTAATTGCAAAGCCTGATAACAGCTGTAGTTGGGGGAGCTGTACATACCTTCGTAATAAGCTCCCTTGGGGTCTGAAGACTATGAAAGTAATGAAACTTTTTACCCAAATACCGAGGTGCTTAATTTCTTCAGTACCTGATTCATTATAGTTTGTGTGATCTGAGCCACGATTCATTATAGAAATTGGCTGCTTCTGGCTTTACAAAGGAAAATGCTTTGTACATTTCTGCTCCCCGTGCGACGGTTGAGAATGCATGCTACTTACTCAGTGGTTGAAAAATGCTTCCTCAGATATTGTTTTTTATTGCCTGCTTCATGTGTTATTTTCTGACTTCGGCAATCCTCTCTGTTAAGTGGGACATAGCTGCAGATTACACAGGGTCACCTCTTGAACAAGCATCTTTCCTACATCCCCAACCCAGCGATTAGAAGCATCAAGAAATTCTCAATCTGCCGTGGCAAGGCATTATTACGATTTAGAAAACACTTTCTGTAAATGTGTGAATATTATGTGATGTTTAATCCATGAATTGTTCTCTGCCTACAAGAGAAAGAAAGGTATTTAAGGACTGAAATGCACTCCCAGATATGTCCACCTGGTGCCGACATTATATACTTTCTGGCGCCAGGTCAAGACCTTTTTATTTACCCAGTATTTTAAAGTTTGTTTAAAAATAATTATGTTTTTATGCCAGTCGTGGGTTATTAGTGTTATTATTATAATTATTGTTTGGGATATTTGATATTTATACTGTTGTATTTACTGTAGTATTGTTGTAAGCCATCCAAAGTCGTGTAGTGATTGGACGGGTTAGAAATACCCCAGATAAATAAGTAAATAAGATTGTCATTTGGTCTCCGTGAGAGACTAGCTTTGTCCCAGAGACCAGCAGGTAAGGTTGGTGACCCAGAAGCCTTAGAGGATGCATCAGACGGGAAGCTGGACAAGTACCTGTGGGTGGGTGTGTCAAGAGCAAAACAACTACAGGAAACCCCTGACTAACCTGATGCAACAAAGTCTTGTGATTATACCATATAATGACATGCCCTGAGGTATCCTGTCTAATGCATGCGCCTCCTAGAGAGGGCCTTAAGGGGTGCTTTGATATTTGGATTTTCTACCACAGGAACAAAGTATTTTGGAAATCAAGGCTAGAGGGGTGGCATGTATATGGAAGAAGAACCAAGGGGAGCGAGTGAATAGAAAGTTTCAGGTGCCTATTGTTGTTGTCATCGTCATCGTCATCATCATCCTGCATGGAATGATAATAAAAGGGTTCCCACAGGCTTCCTTTTCACTCTCTCCTTTTGGTTCTTACCAAAGCAATATTTTAGCCTAGCTGTGTGGATAGTGACTAGTGTGAAAAGTTTAGTGCCAAATTGCCCAGAATACCATATGAGACACGTGGATGTACAACACAGTCTGGTAGTGATGGTCACCATCTGTTTGTTATGCTGGACGCCTTGCAACAAGCACAAAGAGTCCTTGGAGTAAGAATCTTTTTGCTAAGCTGTCTTTACGAAATACCTGACTTCATTTGTGGACTTCATGAGGCAAATGGGAAGGCAACAGAAAGAGAATGCATTGCTGGCAGTTATGGTGCCCCAGCCTATGCTTAATGAGAACCTGAGGAAACATTGAAGACCTATAAAAGTATATTTTTTAATCTCATGCTGTAGGCATTGTTTAAAGTGATTTTTAATTATGTAACTTTGTCTTAAGACCCTGTTTGGCAATCCCCATTGCAATAATTCAGGAATGTGCAGAGCACAGCGAGATTCTTCAGAAATAAAAATTGCTTGTAGGACTGGAGCATCTCTGTCCTGATATTAGGCAGGATTCCTCAGTCCTCATAAAAGAGAAGATGCTCCCATGAGCATTTTCTCATCCTCTGCCTTACTCCTCTAATTCCTCTTTCTTTCCTCCCAGCAAAGATCTCCAGATCTTCAATTAAATCACATTTCTTACTGTACTTCTCCCTGAAGCCTACAGAGAGCCAGGCTGGAGACATAAAGGAGTGGACTCCCCATTTCTTTCTCCCTTCTTTATCTGTATAACACCTTTCTCTCCCTCTCCTCCCCACCCAGTAGACTCCTGGTAGATGGACTTGCCGGGGCCTTTGAAAATAAGCCAGGCAAACAGTTTGGGGCTTTAACTCTCTTGGTGAATAGTGAGTCAGTAATTTATGTGATCCATAAGTCAACACAGCTTCACAGCTCAGTCTAAGACATGCACTCTTATAGCATGCAGCCTATACTACTATCCTTTACATGTCTACTTGGAAGTAAGCCCCCTGATCTGTACCCTGTGGGGCTTCAGAGCAGACATGTAAGGATACTACACTTAGACACTGCATTCTACTAATGGTGTTACCAGAATGAAAAACATTCTATTTTATATTGCATACAGTATATAATATTATATATTTTTCCTTATTTGTTATTTGACAGGCAGCTATTTCGAGTCATTAAAATGTATCCCCAAATGGTGTCTCTTCTCCCATCAACTGAAAAGCTGCTTGTCGGAGATGATTCCACTCTAGATCTCCTCTACTCTGTTCCTCCTTCATATCCTCCTCTCCTGATGCTGGCGATGTAATAGGCTGCTCTAAATTTGATGAGATGATACCAGGTCATTCCTGTATCTAGGCAGTGTCTACTATGATGGGTGGGAGCTATTTAGAACCTTAGGCAGGTATCACCCTGACCCTTTTCACTGGAGGTGCTGGATAGTGGGTGTTGTGCCTGCTGCCTGCAGGGTGCACCCTCTGCCCTGAAGCTCTGCCTGATATCTCCAACCACCACTGGGGAATGATTTGGTAGTGGATTCAGCAAAAGCCTTTCAGTACTACAAGAATTCAATCTCCATGCTGGAATTGGTTAAAGATATGGTCGAATGTCTTCTGATCCATATCTTCTGCAGGCTGATGATGAGATTGCACTTCACTGGGTTGATCAAAGATACCACGGAGAGGAATAATATGCCTTCTGTTTCTTTCAGGGAATATGGAGCCATTGATGATGTAGATATTGATCTGCATATTGATGTTAGCTTTCTTGATGTAAGTACTCTAATCACAGAGTAATATAATTAACATTAATAAATGTCTGATTCTGTTTTTGTCAAGATGTGTAGCCAGCTACTCACAGGCACTTCCCTTTGTTTTTGACCTCCACCTATTGCATGAGGTGCTACCATTGTGTTTGCAGCGGAATATGCCTGGGTTCTTATCCATCAATAGTCCGCTCTCTCTGTTGCATCCTTTCCAAGTGGTTCAAGCAATTTCCACGCTTAGTCAGAAGACTTTTAAAAAATACAGAGAATATTTCATAGGTGGAGTTTGTAGCAATTTGTGGGAACAAAACAGTCTGCTTCATTAACATTTGCATCTTGCTTCTTAAAGGAGTAGGCGCAGGTTATGCCCATTGTTGCATATGGAACTGGAAGTTATATGAACCAGTGGGTAGCTGTCAGTCATAGTGAGCAAGATGAACTGATGAGCATTCAGTTATGGGAGAGGATCCAAAGAGCTATTTTAGTGCACCAAAGGAAGCTTGGCTTCCCCCTCCCCACCCACACATAATGCGATATTAATCATCTTCTAAAAGTTCCTTCAGTTTTAAAAGAAGGTTGTCCTGTGTCATGTAGGGCTTGTATTTTCAAGATATGTCAATCTCAACCCTCTTGAACACACATAATGTGATTACTGACTACAAACAAGCACCCAGAAGTAATATATTAGCTTTATTGGCCTTACAGCAACAATCCTACACACTGACTGCATGGGATCAGATGCATGGCGGGATAAGTGAAACTTAGGTGCACAGAAGGCTGCCTCCTATTGAGTTAGACTGTTGGTTGCCCGTGCTGAGCACTGATGCCAAGGAGAGCCCTCCACATGTGGTTGGACGGTAATTCCCACCTGCCCTTGTAGACAACTAGTGGTGCAGAATTTAGGAGCTGTTGCAGCCTAACAACAAGAGAATCAGCGAGAGTCCTGATTCCTGGCACACACTGACGGGCAACAGCAGTCCAGGGGTTCAGGACAGGAGACTTCCCCACCCTGTCTGAACATAGGACATTTTTCTCGCAAAGCAGGCATTCTAGTCCAGAGCCCAAGTGCATTCCTGTCTGGACTAATCATACCTCCTGGGAAGGAAAATACGGCTATTTTTTGATGTAGTTTAGATTCATTTCTGGAAGACTATATAGAGCCATTGATCCAAAAGCAGAGATTTCTACAGTATTATGGCAACAGGCAAGGTTTATGTTCTTCTAATTTGTGAACCCAATTTCTATTCAAGTCCAATTACTGACCTCTTTCTAATCGCTAATATAAAGCAAAAACTGGTACAATTCATGTCCTGGCAAATCCATTTAGACAGCTACTTAGGTAAGCATGTTCATTTCCTTCACCAGCCCTAGAAGCAAGAATAGTGGAATTTAAATCTGATGATAATGTCTAATGGCTTCTGTTGTGCTCTTGATTCAGGAAGAGATTGCGGTGGCATGGGATGTAATCCGCACGGAGCCTATAATTGTGCGATTGCACTGTTCACTCACACAATATTTAAATGGCCCTGGTAAGTCACTCTTCTGTTTCTCCTGTATGATGTCTTCAAGAGTTTGTCCTGCTCAAAGTGTCTGTAACGAGCTTTCTCTACCAAATAATTGCAAGAGTGGATTGAAGTGCATAATTATATCCTAGGGAAGGAACTATTGTATTCTAAAGGGCTCTTTAATTTAGCAGAGGGTGATGTAACAGTAATCAATAGGTGGATGTTAATACCGCAGAAATTCAATTATTAAATCAGTCTGGGTAATTAACAAAGGGAATGGATTACTAATGAAACAAAGTGATGTACTCTCCCTGTTGAATAGTCTTCAGGTCAAGCAAGGTTCCTTTTCTTCATGAGATAATAGTTTGTAATTCTTACTCTTGTTCTTACTCTTGACAAGCTCTTCCTTATAGTTGTCTATAAGGTCTTGGATGCAATTCTGGGACATTCCCTAGGTCAGCTTGCACTCCACACAGGTCACTGGTGAGGCCAGGAATTTGCCCCAAACTATCAAGTGGCTAAACATTACATAGGAAGATCAGTAATGGTAGACAGCTTGTCTTTACCCTTCACGGGTATCTTCCCACTGCGGAAGGTCTGATACCCTTCCACAGAACATGGTTTGATAGCCAGCCCAGGTATCTTCCTCTTCCTCACCTTTATATCATGTAATACTCAAAATGGGTGATGTGATGCCATCATGTTTCTGATTTCTCTACCCAGTTCCTCTTCATGAGATGCTGCTTGCAGGGGAGAGAAGACTCAAAGTGCACACATTGTATAGCATTACATGATATTGGGAAAGGAGATATAGCCTGCATCAAGTTTAACTACAGATCATGTGATCTGCATGTAATTCCCCCATTAGGACTATTATCAGAAGCCAAGAATTCAGGGCTAACAATCAAGCCAGCTGAAGTTACTGCCTGTATCCATTGATGTTTCTCTTTAACAAAATATTTCAAAGAGACCAGGTATTACCAGACCATATATTGTTCTTTTTTCATCATCATCATCATCATCATCATCATCATCATCATCATCATCATCCAGACTGTATGCATATTTTTATAATTAATGTTTCTATGGTGCATTTCAAAAATCAAACCAAACAAAACCAAAAATAATGAATGAATGAATGGATGGATAAATTTGTATACAAAATATAACAATTACACATATTGTATGGGTTCTCACAACACTCAAGTTGCAGCGGCCCTTAAACTTTGGTACCCTCTTTTGTTGTTTGAGCCCTGACACAGTATTTGAGTGGAGTACGTTTGATTTTTAGAAGCCATGGACTCTGACAACAATCCGTTCTTTGGTTTCTTGGTACCACAATGGTTTGTGGCCTAATCAGTCCAGAAAACACAACTCATCATGGTACCAACAGCAGAAGCAGAGACTTACTTGGCAAGAGCAGCCTGTTGTACCAAGTAAAGGTAAACTCTGCACCTTTATTTCAACAAGATTCAGGGCACTGCTAAAGATCTTGGACCCATTCAGTGGAGGCTGTGCTTCTAACAATGCCTATGGAACCCTGCTTCAAGGAGATTTAAAAAAGTAGAAAGTGTGTTTAGTTAAGTTGTTATTTCACTTGCCTAATTAGTTCCATCACTTGATGAAGCTATTTCCCTGCTTTTTGCATTTTGTAGCCTGGCTGCTACAAATAATACTATTTCAAAGCAATTCTCAGAGGTAATACCCTTCAAAAAACTTTCCCACCACCTTCCAAAACTTGTTCACTTTCTCTCTGTGGCAAACCCAGACAAGTCTTATTGGAATATATCTGCTATTTCCTTGGGGTAAAGTGGCATTTTAATTCTTATGGTATAAAATACTATACTTCTCATTTCATTGCACAGATACAGGAATCTCAGATTCCCTTAGCTATGCAATATTGATCTATAGATCAAACAGAAAGGGCTACTTTTAATGCTACCTTGTTGAGCATATTAATCTTTCAAATGTTCTTTTACATCTGCATTGATTCTACCGTCCCAATATTTGAATCCTTTCCAGTTGATTCTATTTTGCCACCTGCCCTTTGCACAAATATAGCATGTAATGTTTTTGTCTATAATAAGATCCTGATACTTTAAAAACCACTGTTTTCCAACTCAACATCCTTTTTCCTTTGCTCTTCCCTTTGTTTCTCTGCCTGTCTCATTTCTTCCTATTAGGGGGTTCTTTTGTCTGCCGTGGTTCTTTTCTTTCTTTAAAAAGACTGCTTAAGAGCTAAAGGTTTTCCCCTCTATTTCATTGTTCGGCTTTACTTTTGTTCCCTCCCAAGAATGAGTGTGGGAAGGAAGCTCATGATTGTGTGAAAATATTTGTCCACTGCAGGTGCCCTGCTTTATAAATCACACTCTGCCTTGTGTATTCTCACCTCTTACTGTCCTCTCTGCTTCTTCCAATTGCATGACTCTTCACAATTAAGCCTTTGGGCAGTGTCTTGGAGGAAGGTTTTCTTTATAGGCCAAGTAAAGCTTGCATAAAATGATGCAAAGTCCAATGTCAGACTTTTCCAGTAATCATACCAAAAATACAGGCATTCCTGCTCAGATTTGTTAAAAACAGGAAGAGAGAGGGAGCCACTACTGGCTCTAAGCTTTATATTTGTTCTTTCAGTTTTATATTAACACCATGCCTGATTAGGAACATTTGCCCCTTGCGAGCTGGCATTGTGGATGCCTGCCTGCCTTCCTGCCTGGATCTAGCCCTGCAAGAATGAATGGAACCTTTAGAATTCTCTAGTCATTTCCAGTGTCACACCAAAGTTGCCACGCTTGGTTGTGCAGTGGAGTTCACAACCAAGTGGAATAAACTTGTGGAATAAAAAGTAGTCTAAAGCATGTCTAGAGGGTTGGGCTATGATGGATCTTACAGGTAGACATGAAACTGCTGCTGCAGCTAAAGACACTTGGTAAAATGCAGTTAATGAGTCCTATTCTATGTGGCATAAAAAGCAAATTCATTTCATTATTTTCTTGGGAAATAATCAGCAAAAACACACTGGCTACTTCCCTCTGCTACTTTCTGAGCTCCTTTCAGATGCAGTCTTTCAGTAAGACTTTGCTTGACTGCCAAAGACTCATGTATCCTGAGATTTGCTTGCTAATTTTCTGCTTAAGGCTGATCACCACTTTGCCAATGAGCACTTTTTACTCAGATTGAGAAATATTTTGCGATCAGCAAATCATGATGGAAGTTATGAAAAGCCAGTTCTTCAAAGGCTGCAACCAACCAATCACATGGTTTGTCATATTGTGTTGGCCCCTAACTTCTCTCTTGCCCATACAGGTTTTATGGAACTTGGTTAACCTTATCCTCCTGCCTCTGAAAATTTGCTGTGTACAGCAAATTTGCAGCTTTTTTCCTCTGAATATGTCAGTATTTTGCATATAGTCTGTCCTCATAGCCCCAGAGGGGAAACATTCAACTTCTAAGTATGGTATCCATGTTAAAAGTCAGTCCTTACTATGTTATCATGTTAGTTTGGCAATGAAATCCAGCACAGGATGGAACTATAAAAAACTTGTTCCCAATTAAAACTCTTATAGCCAGTTATCACCTGCCTGTAAGAGGGATTTAAGTGGGAACATGCTTTATGTGTGTGTGCACACAGGCGCATACAGAGCCTACCCCATATACTGAGGTTCTTCTGTTTTCTCCCATAGCCCAGTGGTATTTCATGCTTTAGTTATTTCTGTATGAGTGGGTTACTGGTATTCAGTCTTACAGGGAAAATTAAAGTGTGGCTAAGTTTTGCTCTAGTTGTGAACTCTTCTGGTCAGGGTTCTAGTTCCACGTTGGGGCAGGGGTGTGTTTTCTAGATGTAGATTTGGGTTCTAATAAGGAAATCTCAATCAAGACAAGATCCTGGCTCCAAAAAGGCAATGCCAAGCAAAGACCAGGCTCCAGGAAGGCAACCCAGGCAGTCAGATTCTGATAAGGCTCAGTGGCTAGTACCTTGGAGAGTTCCATGTGAGACTGAAGCCTCAGGTACTGCTACTGTAGCAAACTCAAACTGCACTTAATCCAATGATGGGCAGCTTGTGGCCCTCCTGATAATTTGACCTAAAACTGCCACCAAACCTGGCTAGCACAAACCAATCATGAGGAATCTCGGGAGTTGTAGGCCAAAATGTCTTGAGGACCCCAAGTAGCTCCCTTCTGCCTTCTGAGTGTCTGGCTTCCACTCTGGTGATCAGGATCTTCTCAGTCTTGCCCCAAAAGGTGGGGAGTTGGGACAGAGTGCCATGACATGCACATGGCAATGATTATTATGGGGCCAACATTACCCCCTTTCTGTGACTAAGTTTAGATATTTTAACAGCCTGTCCAGGCAAATTTTAACAGACTGCCCTAAGCCCACCCCTTTCCACAGACTGGGTGTTCTTTGTTTGGCTTTGGCACCAGCCCTTTTCTTCACCAAAGAAGCCCCTTTCCTTTTCTCCTGGTGTTGCCATTGGCAGTGAAAAGGCCAGCTGTTGCTTTGTGGGGTCCAAGACCTTTGGGAATTGTAATTTCCCTGAGCGCTTGAGCCCCAACTACATCCTAGTACCTAGGCAACAGCATCCAAAACCACAGTTGTCATCTCTGTTGATTCCAGTACTGCCAGGTAGGCTTGGGGAAAGGCATTTAGATGGAGGACATGGCTAAGAGATTAGGATGCCTCCAGTGTTCCTGGGGCGACAATGAAAATGTGATGGATGAAATAAGCTAATTTAGATCTGGGCTGGACAACTTGTGAACCTCCAGATGTTTTGACTTGCACATCTCAGGTTCACTAAACATTGGCTATGCTAGTGAGGGCTGACCGGAGTTGTAAGCCAAAATATCAGGAGGGCAAGCTGCCCACCCCTGTGTTAAGCAAGCTCATTCTAGGGGAAGAAATCACTGAAGTATATCCCTGTTGGTGAGTGGCAGTGAGTCAGCCAGGCAGCAATGCTTGCGCCACTGGCAGGGATCCTGTGGGAAGGGTGCTGTCCTTATATGTACATGCAACTCAGGAGTGCAGCCTGGGCATCATCTCTTTGGAACAATCTTGAGCACTTTGCTTCCACAAAGGTTGCCCCAGATCAGCCTCGGCTACCTCACTACAATACTGAGCAGCAGTGAGTTTTGAAATATGTCAGCCTACCAATGTTTTTCTATTCTACAGTGCCCACAGTTGATGTGTTTCAGATCTCTACTAAAGAAAGATTTGGACTGGGACATCAGCTGAAGAAGTGAGTTCTGGAAAAGCTACATCATCTTTTAGATGTTATACTTTGTATATTGTTGCAAGCTATTGATTCTGACAATTGTGTCGGGCCCAGTGCAGACAAATTATTAACAGCAGTGTTATAGGCACATGTTTTCTGACAACTCCAAAGGAAGCTAGATCAAGATAACTAAAATAGCTGCATATTTTACACTTCTCCTGTTCCTTTCAACAGCATAATTAAGGATGGCTATCCCTAGATGTTTAGATATTTTGTCTGTAACAAAAATACTGATTTGATGTTCCTTTTAATTTTTGAAGGCATCCTCTAGGGTCAAGTCTAGTTTAATATGCCTACACAAATGTGCTGTCTGAAGGAAGATGTTTTGCTTAGACATCTTGACATTAGTGTAATGTGTTTCACATGGGACTGCCCTCAAAGAGTTTGCAAATGACAGATAATGCCAAATGCAGTGGTTTGCTTGCTTTCTGATGCATGCTTTTTGGCCCATATATATGGTCTTGTATCAACTACAGTCTTTTAATCATTTTCTGGGCAAAATTCGAGGAGTTGGTGCTTACTTATAAAACTCCCAATGGTTTCTGCCTATCTTTTTATAGTTCTCCTCTCTTCTCAAGCCAACCGGCCCAGAATTTAAGATCTTCTTCAGATGCCCTTCTGTATGTCCCACCATCAAGTGAGCCTAGATTGGTGGGAACGTGGCAGCATGTGGTCTCCAGAACTCTCTTCCAAGGGAGGATAGACTGGCCCTTTGTTGATTTCTTCTGCATGGCCTTTTGCATGTATTATCTCTGCATCATGGAGACTCTTCCGCTCTTAATTCGGCTACAGTTAACATTTTAACATTTTAACATTCTTTTAAGTTTTAATTGTAATGTGCCTTCAGAGGCCCATTTGGGTAGATGGGTGACTCATAAATGTATAAATAAATAAATGCAATAAACCAAAATGCTCACTCAGGTTTCCCAAATTGTATGGTTGTACTCCTTGGGCATGGCCTTTTGCAAGTGGCATCTCTCAAATATTAAAAGTGCAGGCTTTTAGCTAATGCAATTTTAAAACAATCTGCTCCTAATGGGAAACTCTGGTAAATTTTGCCATCTGCTTACAAAGATAAAACAATGGACCAGGTGCTTTATGGGCTGAAACAGGAGTATTTCAGAAATGTCCTAAAATCCCTTTCCAAGAATTTTATTGGACTGACTAAAAAGGCTCATTGTGGTCAGATTAGAACACACAAAGTCAAATACTAGTAATATTGCTATCCTGTGGGTTTGAAGCCTACTTTTTATTGTATTGTTTTCATTCTTTTACTTGTTTTGTTCACCGCTGTGGAATTTGCTTAGTATGGAGTGGTATACAAATACTATAAAAGAAATAATAAATTAGTAAAATAAACAAATGGATAATACTAGTCTACTACTATCGGCAACGAAAGATTTGTCTCTATGTTTAACACTTAAAAAAACCTTTTTAATGAATGTGTTTAATTTACAGAATCATGCAGACATTTGTTACACAGCAATGGAAAAATGGCAAAGAAAAATCGAACAGTACGCACAACAAAAAAATGTCTGAGAAGAAAGTGAAATCCCCCCTGCATATCTTTTCTACGCTGCGCAGGTAGGAGGAAATGGTCAAAGAAGCACTGTGGGGTTCCATGGAAGTCGCTTGGCTTCTTTGGGGTTCACTCAAATCCCTGCACCCATTCTTTCTCTCAGGGCTTATTTCTGGAAGGATGCATGCTGGCCCGGGCTGCAGCCAAACAAGAGTGGGACCACATCCTTCTCTGCCTCAGTGCCTTCCCATGCTTCTTCTTTCTCCACACCAGTGGGAGAAGAGACAGATCATTCTTGTTCCAGGTCTGGCCTGATCGCTTCCAGAAGACATGTGAAATTTAGGCTGAGGGCCACATGTTGCCATCTCATTTCAACGTGAGATGGGGCTGCAGGGTCATAGTAGTGAGCTCCGCTCTTGTCAATGCATGTAACTGCTGGGCCCCACCCACCCCTACATTTGGCAGAATTCAGCACCCTCACAGAGGAGCACACACAGGATCTCCTCATTCAAGAAGGAATCGCGGTCCAGTTAGGTTTTGCCTTTCCACATAGATCATGGCAAATGGATTCCTTCACTGAGTTAAATTTCATGCACTTCAGCGTTTTACTGGAATAATTCATTGAAACTAGATAAGTGATGGAGCATCTATTGAGAAAAATTACACCATCAGTTTCATCAGGCTTTTTGGGTGGTAAGTTCTTCAGGTCCCCGTCATGTAATCTTTTTCATTGCACTTCCTACATGGCCTTCATCAGTGCCTTGTGGAGATCTATTAGCAGCGCTGTAGAGGTGGTGGACATTACAGTGTGTGAAAATGTTGGTGTGACTTTCAGCTGTGACTGGTAAGAGGCCATTGTTAGAGATGCTGTTAATCTGCTTGGTCGGTCCTGTGGAAAAACTCACACAGTCATGAAATAGCTATTAAGTTCTAACTCTCCAGATAACACTTTCAAATATGAACAGAGATTATTTTATTACCTGTGAAGTATCTTTATTTACTGCCTGATGACTGACTGGTTGTTCTTTTAGCATACTTTAAAATGAAAAAAGGGAAGGCCTCATCATTTAAGTGTCTGAGAGTTGTAATGGCTGCCTCTGAGTACAATGGGTTGATTTGATTCAGTGATTGTGGCTGATAGCCATTGATGGAAAAATCTCCATGATTCTGTTATCCCTTTCTGAAAGCTGTGTAAATGGGTAGCTTGTATCCTATACCAAGTGCTTTGCACACATTAGCCATGCATTATGTAATGAAGTGTTTTCCTGTATTTGCCTTCCACCCACCAAAACTTCATCAGTTACACTGGCGATACCAATGATAGAACGTGGAATCTTTCTGTCTGCCTTTCTGTCTTCCTTTCTTACTTTCTCATTTACATTTATATACCACCTCATTTTCTAAAAGCCATTAAGGCAACAAACAACATTTATTTATGTATTTATTTAAACATTTTATAGACCGTTTTATATCAACACACACTCTCAGAATGGTTTACAATTTAAGCAATGACATCTTAACATAGTAAAGCAAAGATCCAAGAACATTAAAAGCATTAAAACAGCTACATCCTTGAAAAGGCTACATTAGAAAGACGTGTCTTCACAGCCTTTCTAAAAACCAAGAGAATGGGCACCAACAACAATTTTTGTTGCATAGCTGAGAGCAACATAGGAGAAATCCCTTTCACATGCATCCATCAAACAAGCCAGTGCAGATGTTTACCACAGATCTTAAGAAATAAACAGGTTCACAACATACACATATATTGACCGTTTGTCAGTCATGGGAACGTACGGGGAGAATTCATGTCCATGACAGGGGAAAGGGGAACAGTATGGACCTGGACAAAATCATCTTTTTATGGGCATTTCTAACAGCAACTGTGCTGTTAACTTTTCTCTCTGTTTACTTTTAAGGTCGCCAAGTTATCCTCCACCAGGCTGTGGGAAAAACAAAACAAAACTGAAACCTGAACAAGATGGCATCTCAAAAACCCACAAGTTATTGAGAAGGACTTGTTCTAGCACAGTTAAAGCTGAGAATACATGTGTCACCAAGTCCCACCGAACCTTTGGTCGCTCGTTATCTAGCGATCCCAGGGCTGAGCACACCATGACCATTAAATCGCACAAACTGTTGAACCACTCCTGCTCAGCCGCGATCAAGCAGGATGAGTGCATCACTTTAAAGCCCCATAAATTGCTGAGCAGATCGTGTGCTGGGGATATGCGATGTGAGCACAACAGCACTTTGAAGCCCCACAAACTTTTAAGCAGGTCTTATTCCAGTAACCTTAGGATGGACGAATTAGATGGGCTGAAGAACCACAAGTTACTCAGCAAGACTTACTCCAGTGCTCCCAAGTCATCCAAAATGGAGCTTTTCAAAGAACCCACCATAGCAGAGGGCAGGAGGCTCTCTCTTACCTCAGGGCTTATTGGTATCTTAACACCATCTTCATCCTCACCATCACAATCCACTGTGCGTAACCAGTTCTGTTCTGTGGGCCTTTTCTCTTCCTGCGTATTTCCAGAGCAGTTAACCTTATGATAAATGTGGATGTGGAAACAGAGTTCCAGCAAAGTGCATGGCACTGTACCTTTGTTCATACACTTGAATGGTGTCTCATCACCCATATTTTAACCCCCTGAGTATACTCTAAAGGCAGTGTACTGTTTCCAGCTTAAATAAGTTATTGGTTGCAGCCTTAGAAGGCTGTCACTTACAGACATGAATTTTACTCTTATTCTTGACTGATGTGTTGCATGTTACTTGTGGTTTTCATGTTTTCTGAAGAAAGTTTTCGTGTTTGCTTGTTTTGTGAATTAAGGAATGTGCTTTGCAGAATAAGGCAATTGTTCACTGCTGTACTATGCACCAGTTCTGGATGGGTGGAGATTTCTACAACAAATTATTGGCTGCAGAGTATAAACATTACCAGTGTCAGGAAAATGGCACTTGTATATTTAAGGTGCTCGACACACTTTGGTACTATACCACTGTTTGGTAGAAATAGTATAATTATTCTGTCAGATATGACATTCTTTCTCACACTGTGCATTCTGGGAATATCTCAAAAAATACAGATTGGCATCCAAGGAATGTCACAAAGCATTCTGGGGAAATCTGGGCAGGCTCCGTTTTCCAGTGATAGGTAGGAAAATTACCTTGCGAGCTCTCAACCTTTGACTTTGCTCACATTGAGTGCCTGCATCAACACTGAAAATCATCGTGCCATGAGCCTTGATTTGCTCTGTGAAGGGAATCCAGTATCACCAATCCATAGATATTGGTGATACTGGCACAGGCATCCTAGGATAGGTCCCATTCTTTAACAGTACAGAAAATATGTTACTATGATTCCAGAATTGTGGCTAAGCAAAGAATTGAACTCCAAGCTTCCTGATTCCAGACTCAGACTTTATCCCAGCTTGGTGCCCTCCAGGTGTGTAGTCCCACACATCTGGAGGATACCCAGTTGGTGAAGGCTGCCCTATCCACTATGCCGTACTGGTTTTCATGTTGTTGCAGATTCAGTGTTCAACTACAGTCTTAATAGTACTGTTAAATGATGGTTTAATCTTTGGAGATGGGACTTAGTGTAGAATACATCCCCACCTCAACCTAGCCCCAGGATGAGCACTTCTCTGTAGGGGTACTTTAGTGGTCCATAATTTAAATGGGTATTCTGGTAGTGTTCTGGGCATATTTCCAGGTGCTGATGTGTACTCAGCAATCTAAAGAACTCTGGCCTGATATACCTAGAAAAACGTCTCCTCCAACCTGTATCCTGTGATGGCCTGCCATATAAACTATGATCTCAGTGACTGTACTCAATTATAATTCTATCATTGGCTGAATTTTGAATAGCAAGGGGATGTAGAACAGTGATGGGAATGTAAGATCTTCCAGATATTGGTGGACAGCAACTTCCATCAGCCTCATCTGGCATGATTAGGAATAATGGGTGTTTTAATTCAACAACATCTGGAGGGGCACAGGTTCTCAATCCTTGCTTTATGTAGTCTGTATGTGTTTTGGAGAAACGTCCACGTAGTTTGTGCAAGGGCTTGCTAGTACTGGCATTTCTTGTTGAGTTCTGTTTGCATCTTTGTCAGTCCTGGCTTTCATGTCTGCTTGGGATATAAACAGGTGGTTAGGGTCCTTTTGTTGGAGCGTTTCTGAAATTGGTACAGGGATGGGAGCATTGGTCAAAGAGGTAAGCATATAAAGCATTGTCTTATAATGGGTAAGAGACTGGTGCATCTTGTGCAAGATTCCAAAGGGATTTAGAGAACTTACTCAAAGCAAAGGACTTTACCAGAACAACTATCTTAAATCCATTGTGTGCTGGTATAGAACTGAATGAATGAATGAATGAATGAATAAATAAATAAATAAATAAATAAATAACATCTTTTGGAAGTGGAGATGCTCCAAAAGTTGTAGGAGTTGAACTTCCATCTGGCCTGGACATTGGTCACGGAGGATCTGTGGTAGCCTGGTGTGCCCCAAGTTTCCCACCTCCTGTTTTAATTGGAGGTGTTTGGGGTGAACAAGAGATGCAGGCATTCCATGCATGATCTCCATCACATGCAGTTCAGCAGCAGATATTAGTATGGCACCACTGCCTTAACCTCTGTATTCATATGAAAACTGACACAGAAAATCCCAATCAGAATTGGTGCTGTTTCACCTGGAGTTTGGCTACGTGAGTATGTAGAACCACAGCTCTTCTTCATGGTCTGTGTGCATCACATGTATGGGCACTGCACCTGTGTGGAGCCTGGTGTCAGCCCATATGTATGAATGTACAGAAAACCACTCGAACAACAGCAGTTACCAGTAGGCAACCTGGCTATTTAAGGGAGATTAGAGAGATTCATGGGGATAAGGCTCTAAATGGCCTCTAGTCAAATGGCTAGATATTACTTCCAGTATCACAGGCCATGTGTCACAGTCACCAGGGAACATGACATCCTGCTGAGCTCAGGTCCTGCTGTGGGCATTCCATGGGGATCTGTGGGAACAGAATGCTGGACTAGGTTGGTGTGGGTGACATCCAACAAGGCTCTTCTTACTTTCTTTTGAGTGATGTCTGAGAACTAAATAATATTCCATGATGCAAGCAATTTGACAAATTCACAGTTTAAATCAAAACCAATGATTCTCCATTTAGTGCTTATAATATTTATTACCAGCTGCCTCACTCATTCTGATGCTACTTCTACTTTCCATTTCTTTTTTAAATAGCCAACGTATGGTGCAAAATCTGTTCCGATCAGAGACAATGGCTTCCTTGTGCAGGTAAGAGAGAATTCCAAGTCTGTTTCAGAAACCCGGAGAAGATTGAGCTGCTTGTTAATCATTTTAACCAGATCATATTATTCTGTTTTTCATCATTCTCAGACAATTGAGTTTGCTGAGCAGCGAATACCAGTACTGAATGAATATTGTGTGGTTTGTGATGAACCACATGTGTTCCAGAATGGGCCCATGCTGAGGGTAAGTTAAATACCTTGGAATTAAATTGTGCTGTGTGTGCAGTAGAATCACAGAATGAGAAGTTACTTTTGTGGTCATCAAGTCCAACCAAGTACTGAATGCAAGAAGTAGCTAGAGAATACCTGGTGCATTTCTATCTGGCTTCTGCTCAGACCCTCCAGGAAAGAGGCTGCAGTTCTGAGGCAGCCTGTTCCACTGCCAAATAGCTCATCCCAGGAGAATTTGCTTGACGTTTGCCCAACTTCTGCTGCCTTGCAGTTCTCACCCATGCATTCTAGTTCTGCCCTCTGGAGTAAAGAGTGAACAAGTCAACTTCTTGCTCTAGATATATGTGAAGACTGCTATTATGGTTCCCTTTCATCTTTTCTTCTACAGGCTACATGCATATGCAGCTCTTTTATGAGACAAGAAGTGTTTCTAGCCCTGCATGGTTTAGGATGGTTTTACCTTGGACAGCTCCTTTCCTGCTATAATTTACATCTCTCTCCTTGTTCAGTATTCACTGGGTCAAAACTATAGAATGTTTAGTGTATTATTTTAAATTGTTTTTAGAGCAGCTTTGAGAGTGAACTCCTCTCAAGGAAACATACAGGATAATTTTAGCTCTTTCCTTAAGCTTCATTTCCATTTCTCTCACTGATCCTCATAACAGCCGTAAATTAGATCTCCTCCATATTATAATTGCGCTTGTCTAATCCACCCACCCGATGAGTTCATGGTTGAGAGATACCTGCTGTGACCATTTCCTTCTCTTTCTGACGTCTGTGACTTCCATTCACTGTATTCCTTCACTTCAGGAGTTCTTCTTGTGTTGCTTCCCATGCTTGATTCACTTGGTTGTGCCCCCGCTTTTTTTTTTCCTGCAATGCTTTGTTAACCAGTGAACTTGGCAAGTGCAAGTGGGAAATAATTTCCTCCCTTCTCTCATGGCAAATTCCATAGATTAAAAGAAAAAAGGAAGAAGCAAATGCAAGTTGGCACAGATGTGGCAAGGCTCTCTGGTGCCCCTTTCCTAGCAAAGCTGCCACAGATGGCTTTCTAAGAGGGAATCGGGGTTGGGGAATTTTTAGTTCATCCATCAAATGCTGCTGTCAGAAAAAAATGAATTATTTGGCCCTGCCAGTGTGTCTTGATGTGGGCAGATGCTCTTAAAACAAACAGATAAACAAATCCTGCCTCCCTCCATTTGGGGACTAACACACTGAGCTGATTTAGATAGTCATGGAAGGATGATTAACCATGGTTCATGTGAACTCAGTATCTACACTAGTATTACTAGCAATGTGCCTGAAAAGTACAAGGGAAGTCAGATGTTCATTCATTCTGAAATGAAGAAAGTCAGGAAAATGGCCAGAAAAGAAGCCATGCTTTTACTAGCCATCATGCCCAGAGGGAAGTGGGGGCTACAACTATGTTTATGCAAAGGAGGCCTTGGTGCAGATACCATGTGTCCCACCTGCACCCAGTTGTGGCAAAAAATTCAGTGGCCCTGAAGCCAGTTAGTGATTTTGGGAGAGGATAGAGGAGTACAAAGGATGGGCTGAGGAAGCCATGGACCATGTGTGCTGCTTCACCTGATGGACATGAATAGCAGGAACTCTTGTATCGGAGACAGTACTCCTCGGAATAGCAGTTTCTGGAGGACGTGTGTGGGAGGATCCTGTGGCAGTCCTGGTCCTCTTGCGGGCATTCCAAAGGCAGTTGTTTGGCCACTGCGTGAACAGAAGGGTGAACGAGAAGGACCCGTGATCTGGTCCAGCATAGCTCTTCTTATCCTTTAATTCATTCTCTGCTTGTCCAGTGGATGCTCCTCAGGGAGAACAGAGGTGCTGTGAGGTTCCAGCATGGGTCAGGGCTGTTCTGCACAGCCCTGAAGACTCCTCTGGGTTGGTTTCTCTGAGATCCCTGTAATCCTTTGAGATTCTCTGACCATCCCATGGATTACAGGAAGGTTGTTGGATCCTCCCCATTGAACGTGCTGGCTTGGGCTGATGAGAGTTGCGGTCCAGCCGCATCCAAGGGGCCACACGTTGTCGACAGTGGTATGTCCCAACACCACATGGCATTGGCCAAGGATTGCAAGTGGAAACCTCATGGGCCTCTCCATTCTTCGTCTACTAGTCAGCAGTAGGGGTAGATGTGGTGGTGCGCCCCTTCAGAGACATGCTGCCGCTGCCTTTTGCCTTTGGGTCATCCATAGAAATTTCAGTCAGTCCTCAAGACCTGAAAGAGCCAAGAGGTGAAATGCTCCCCCAGGTGGAACTTTGCCTGGGGGAAAGCTGGAAGCACTGCATGCACATGCAGCAACTGTAGTGTGTTCTGGGCTTGATGGCAGGGGCAGCCTTCTCTCTGTGGCATCTCTGCTCGCCCTTCTCCCCTTCACCTGCAGCTACTCCCCTCTCTCTTCAAGTGGATCTTTGGGGATATTTTCATCTCATTTGTGCCCGTTAGGCATGCCTCTTTGAGGGGAGCCTTGGGAAGGCTGGATTCCTCGTTCAGCTTCTTGGCACATAGCCAGGAGTGTGGCTGGGGCTGCCGCTGCCTTCTCTTTTTAGATAAATGGCTTCAAAGGAATCCCAGAATAACAGTGAATAAGATTAAGGACTGAAGAAGAGGCAATCCGCTGCTGAACCTAAGCAAGCGATGCAATAAGCAAAATAGGAAGAGTTCACAACACCTTTTAAAAGAAGCCAGCACGGCAAATTCAAGCTTGTCCAGTTTTAAATTTTATTTTTAGAAACAAGGCCAAGGCACATGATTTGACCTTCTAAATAGAAAGAAGTCGACTTGTGGCATGAATTAAATCAGGCAATGCAGGCAGGCAGAATTTCATCTGGATGAGCTGCTTGGGCCCACCCTGCACAGGCCAGAACCAGGAGCACAAGGAATACCTACTTGGGAAATTATATATATTTATATATAATCAAAAACAAAAACAAAAAACACCCAGTCTGAAGTTGTTTTTTTACCATTTGTTTCTTTCATAAAACTGCTATTCATTTTTTTAAAAAATTCAGATTTAATCCATCCATTTTTCAGATTTCAGTTATGGAAGGACTACAGAGTTCTGCCTTGAGGCCACATTCTCATAGAGTTAATCTCGCAGAGCTCACAATGTGTGGGGCCAGTACCACCCCCCTTTCCCCCCCAACCTCTTGTAGGCTATCACTACTGCACTCTGTCTTTTTCTTTCTTGAGAAGGTCTAGAGAGGAGAACAGCTTGGGATGCTGATGCTCTTACATTAAAGTTCATTACCACCCCACTTAGTCTCTTTCACACTCATATTCTCTCTCTCTCTCTCTCACACACACACACACACCCCACACACCCCTCACCTATGTGCCTTCCAGTCTTTGGCTTCCTGGGACTCTTAATTTCCTTCCTAGATGTTTGAGCAGCTCCTCAAGCCCATCTCTTTTCCTTCCCTCTGTGAGTTAAGTGGTCTTGCACCCTCCCACACCTGTTGGCTGATCTGGTATCCTCCTTTCTGTTGTGGCCACAGTGATTGGCTTCTCAGGTGAGCAAATTTTTGGCTCAAAAAGAAGTAGCTTGAGGCAAATCTGGAGAAATGAGGAGAGAGCAAATAGGTTGGAGCATAGCTCTGACAGCCCCTATTCCATTTGTCCATCATCCGTGTTGCCCAAAGCCTGCACCAAGCAGATTTTGTCAATCTGCAGGCATTTGTTTTCCTTTCCCTGTTGGCATATGAGATTTTACAAGGTGTTGCTCATTTTCAAGTCAGTAATTCCAGAAACTTGTATTTATCTTTAAAACAACACAGTCCATGAGATAATGCCAAGTATTGTATCCTACCTTTATTCCTGCTTGCAGAATTCATGCTACCCTGAATATATCCCAGAAGACAGAGACTTTAGGGCTAAATTACCACCACCAGATAATTTATCTCCATTATCTGAAGCAGTGTGCCTATGTACACCGGTTGCTGTGGAGCATGAGGGAGAAAGTCTGCTGATGCCCCCATGCCTTGCTTCCAAGTTTCCCACAGACACTCGGTTGGCCACTGTGTAAACAGAATGCTGGTCTGGTTAGGCCTTGGATCTGACCCAGCAGGGCTGCTCTTATGTTCTTATCATAAAGAACTTGCTGGTCCACCTTGATTCCATAGCCAAAGTCAAGCAGCACCTCTTTAAAATCTAACAGGTCCATGCTCTTAAACCCCTTTGCTTTCAGTGGGCATCAACACAATCAAGGAAAAGCTAAATGAAAAGCACTGTTCAACCAAAACCGGGCTCACAGAGCAGCCTACATCAATTTATAATAAGATAGTCCCTGTACTCAGCCTTGTACGAGACACAACAGAAAAGGAAAGTGGGTTGGGAGAAAGGAGGAAAGAAAAACAAAACTTAGCAATTCTTAGTTTCTGTTTTCTTTTAGATATTCTTTCTAGGCAGAGAGAGGTGAAACAAGCTTCCTGCAGCTGCCCTTTCTTTGGGCCATATCTGGATTGTATCTGGCTTGGTCCCTCTCTTGCCAAGGTGTTCCTTCTGGTAGGCGTGCACTTTTCGTACATGACCCTGTAAAACAACACATACACTGACAGTGCTATATAAATATTTAAAGAAAATGTGCACTCTGGTTACAGTCTTTGCATTCTAGGAAAGAGATCCCTTCAGAATTCATCTGTCTGAACATAGGAAGCATTATACTGGGATCAGACCTTACACCAAAATCCCTTTAGCTCCACATTCCCTGCTCAAACTGACAGCAGCTTCCAAGTATGTCTCTTCCATTGACCACCACCCACAATCCTTTTGGTAAATGTAGCAAAGGTGGAATGCTGGCATGTGCTGTGCACAAGGAGACAATTAGACTTCAGCCTTGCGTAAACTGCATAACTTGAGCCTGAGAACCTAGTAGGCATTATGGCCAAGTGCAAACTGGTGAAGAGAGGCCAATGGAGGAACTACCTGTTGTAGCACCTGAACAAGACACTGGGTCTGTTCCCACATCATGGCAAGCCTGATGGGTTAATTTGCCC